TGATCAGACTGTACATTGTAACTTTGTAGAAGGAGGAGGCGGCATTTCTCAGTCTCCTCCCCCAGTGATCAGACTGTACATTGTAACTTTGTAGAAGGAGGAGGCGGCATTTCCTCAGTCTCCCCTCCCCCAGTGATCAGGCTGTACATTGTAACTTTGTAGAAGGAGGAGGAGACATTTCCTCAGTCTCCTCCCCCAGTGATCAGACTGTACATTGTAACTTTGTAAGAAGGACTTACATGGTAGGAGGAGGCATTTTCCTCAGTGTCCCCTCCCCCAGTGATCAGACTGTACATTGTAACTTTGTAGGAGGAGGAGGAGACATTTCCTCAGTCTCCCCCCCTCCAGTGATTAGACTGCAGCAGGGGCTGATCTGTGTCAGACATTTGTGAACACCAGTAGGAACTGCACAGGCACCAGGATTTACAGGACTCTCATGCATCTCAGTCCAGGAAGTAGATGGTGACTCTGGTGATGCCAGAACAGAGATGGCGCCGCCCTTCTGGAGAGGAAATCCGATGAATTTGTCAGGGGTAGTCCGGTGATCTCTGGGAGAGGTAATAAATCCCTGGAAGGGTCGCAGTGACCTATTACTCGGCGTGCTGCTCATGTAATGAGCCCCATTGTGTAGTTCCTGTATGACGGCGTCCTCCTCCTCCTCAGTCATGGCGTTGTGGGGATCGGCGCCCCGCGTTCATCGCTGACAATATTTAGCGCACGAATTACGGTGCAATTCCATGGAGAGTCATTACCGGAGTTATTAATGGAGTCAGGCAGCCAGGAGGGCGGGAAAGTCGTGTCTCGGTGGCTGATGTTCCAGAATGAGCCGCAGTTCTTCGGGGGGACAATAAATGATGGGGGGGGGGGGGGGGGTGGCATGTACAATGAGACGCCATCGCTGCCGGGTGACATCATGAACAGTGCGCAGGGACGCGCCTATAGTGGCGATATTCCCGCCATTCTGTCCCGGGATCCCGAGATGTTCTTTGTTCTCCGAATGTATGTGATGAGACGTGTAGAACGCTTCCGGACGACTTCTGCTGGAGCGGCTGATCGGCACTGCGCCGCGATGGCTGACAACCAGAAAATCAATCAGGGGGGTTAAAGAGGAACCCCGCTGTGAGCTGCGCCTCTAAAACAACACGTCATGTGACCTGCAAACCGCAAATTACCGAAACACCCAAACTACTATTATGGCTATAAAAGTCGCACACATCGGGGGGGGGGGGGGGGATAAAAAAAATGGGACCTAAAGCTCCTCCCAATATAGATGGCTGGGGCAAAGCCAGGGGGGAAAAAAATCTCTGGGAGCCCCCCCAAAGATCTTTCCCCCCCCTCTTTCACCCCCCCCCCCTCCCCCCTTTTCCTCCCCCCCCCTTCCCCCCCCTTTCTCTCCCCCCCTTTCTCCCCCCCCCTTTTCTCTCCCCCCCCCTTTCTCCCCCCCCTTTCTCTCCCACCTTTCTCTCCCCCCCTTTCTCTCCCCCCCCTTTCCTCTCCCCCCCCTTCCCTTTCACTCCCCCCCCCTTTCTCTGCCCCCCCTTCCTCCCCCCCTTCTCCCCCCCCTTTCTCTCCCCCCCTCCCCCCCTCTCTCTCCCCCCCCTTTCTCTCCCCCCCCTTCTCCCCCCCCTTACCTCTCCCCCCCCCCTTCCCCCCCACCCCCTTCTCTCCCCCCCCCTTTTCTGACTCCCCCCCCTCCCCCCCCTTTCTCCCCCCCTCCCCCTTTCCTCTCCCCCCCTCCTCTCCCCCCTTTCCTCCCCCCTTTCTCTCCCCCCTTCCCTCTATTCCCCCTTCCTCTTCCCCCCCCTTTCCCCCCCCTCCCCCCCCTATTCCTCTCCCCCCCCCCCCTTCCCCCCTTTCCCCCCTTTCCCTCTCCCTCTCTCTGGCCTCTGATACACTCTCTGTTGTGTTTCTATTTCCATCCGATGATCTCGGGGATCCTATAAATAGCTTCTCCTCGACATTGTGAGGGATTTGCATTCTGCGTTTTGCCGCCAGGTCCTACCAGAGACCTCCTCATCGCTGTACCTCCATCGTTCCTGCGGGCGAGAACAGAGAAATGTGTGCATACAGGTCCTACCAGAGACCTCCTCATCGCTGTACCTCCATCGTTCCTGCGGGCGAGAGAAGAGAATGTGTGATACATGGTCCTACAGGTCCTACCAGAGACCTCCTCATCGCTGTACCTCCATCCGTTCCTGCAGGTGTGAGAAGGTCCTACCAGAAGAATGTGTGCATACAGGTCCTACCAGAGACCTCCTCATCGCGTACCTCCATCGTTCCTGCGGGGACGAGAATGAAGAATGTGTGCATACAGGTCCTACCAGAGACCTCCTCATCGCTGTACCTCCATCGTTCCTGCGGGCGAGAACAGAGAATGTGTGCATACAGGTCCTACCAGAGACCTCCTCATCGCCGTACCTCCATCGTTCCTGCGGGCGAGAACAGAGAATGTGTGCATACAGGTCCTACCAGAGACCTCCTCATCGCTGTACCTCCATCGTTCCTGCGGGCGAGAACAGAGAATGTGTGCATACAGGTCCTACAGAGACCTCCCTCCTCATCTACCGTACCTCCTCATCGCGTACCTCCATCGTTCCTGCGGGCGAGAACGAGAATGTGTGCATACAGGTCCTACCAGAGACCTCCTCATCACCGTACCTCCATCGTTCCTGCGGGCGAGAACAGAGAATGTGTGCATACAGGTCCTACCAGAGACCTCCTCATCGCCGTACCTCCATCGTTCCTGCGGGCGAGAACGGAGAATGTGGGCATACAGGTCCTACCAGAGACCTCCTCATCGCTGTACCTCCATCGTTCCTGCGGGCGAGAACGGAGAATGTGTGCATACAGGTCCTACCAGAGACCTCCTCATCGCATACAGTCCAGGCATACAGGTCCTACCAGAGACCTCCTCATCGCATACAGGTCTCTACCAGAGACCTCCTCATCGCCGTACCTCCATCGTTCCTGCGGGCGAGAACGAGAGAATGTGTGCATACAGGTCCTACCAGAGACCTCCTCATCGCCGTACCTCCATCGTTCCTGCGGGCGAGAACGGAGAATGTGTGCATACAGGTCCTACCAGAGACCTTCTCATCGCCGTACCTCCATCGTTCCTGCGGGCGAGAACGGAGAATGTGTGCATACAGGTCCTACCAGAGACCTCCTCCGTACCTCCATCGTTCCTGCGGGCGAGCGGAGAATGTGTGCATACAGGTCCTACCAGAGACCTCCTCATCGCATACAGGTCCTACCAGAGACCTCCTCATCGCATCGCATACAGGTCCTACCAGAGAGTACCTCCATCATTCCTCGCATACAGGTCCTACCAGAGACCTCCTCATCGCATACAGGTGTGCATACAGGTCCTACCAGAGACCTCCTCATCGCATACAGGTCCTACCAGAGACCTCTCATCGCATACAGGTCCTACCAGAGACCTCCTCATCGCATACAGGTCCTACGCATACAGGACCTCCTCATCGCTGTACAATGTCACCCTGATGGGGGTGCAGACATGCTGGCACTTGTAGTTCCTTGGCGGGCACTGCTTCCTTCATCTGCCGTGTGAATCTGAGCTCTGTGTGTCACGGACTCTCACCTTTTTTTTTTTCTGTTTCTTTCTTTTTTTCTTTTTTTTTAAATTAAAATTCTTGTTTTCACTTTTTTTGTGTTTTTCTCTCTCCATTGGAAGTCTGTGTGACGGAGGGATAATCGGGAGGGAGACCGAACGTACTGCTGGGGTGACAGGATGTAAAAAAAAAAAAACAAAAAAAAAAACCCATAAATAATAATAGAGAAAAATAACAATAAATGTTTAACAATTATAATCTTTGGTTATAAACTAATTTGGGTTATTGTTTTTTTAAGATAACGGAATACATTTTGGCCGAGATTTATGAGGAAATATTATTTATTTGCAAATCTTATAAGAAAAACACTTTTTTAAAAACATTTTTGACTTTTTCATTTACATAGCAAAAAAAATAAAAATCCCAATAATTAATACAACCAAAATAAAGTTTTATCCGTCTCAAAAAAATGCTAAAAAATTCATATGGATACAGTGTTGCATGACCGCGCAATTGTCATTCAAAGTGTGATAGGGAAGTGTCTGGACTGGGAGGGGGGGAAAGCGTCCGTACTGGAAGGGGGGGAAAGTGTCCGGACTGGAAGGGGGGGGGGAAGTGTCCGGACTGGAAGGGGGGGGAAGCGTCCGGACTGGAAAGGGGGGGAAAGTGTCCGGACTGGAAGGGGGGGGAAGCGTCCGGACTGGAAGGGGGGGGAAGCGTCCGGACTGGAAGGGGGGGAAAAGCGTCGGACTCCGAAGGGGGGAAAGCGTCCGGACTGGAAGGGGGGGAAAGCGTCCGGACTGGAAGGGGGGGAAAGCGTCCGGACTGGAAGGGGGGGGAAAGCGTCCGGACTGGAAGGGGGGGAAAGCGTCCGGACTGGAAGGGGGGGGGGGAAAGCGTCCGGACTGGAAGGGGGGGAAAGCGTCCGGACTGGAAGGGGGGGGGAAAGCGTCCGGACTGGAAGGGGGGGGAAAGCGTCCGGACTGGAAGGGGGGGAAAGCGTCCGGACTGGAAGGGGGGGAAAGCGTCCGGACTGGAAGGGGGGGGAAGCGTCCGGACTGGAGGGGGGGGAAAGCGTCCGGACTGGAAGGGGGGGGGAAGTGTCCGGACTGGAAGTGGTTAAAGCCAAACTCCAGTCACAAGATACAATAAAAATAAATAACAATAAAAAGCCATTTAAAAGATAAAATAACAAACCAGCCGTTGCTGCAAAATTCAGCTTCATTCCAAAGATTGCCCCCTGCTGTATGGTTTTTTTTATGACACTAGATGTCCTCAGTCTAATGGCCAATATCATTCACTTATTCTGAGCCCACGACCCGCCCACAGCGTGTGAAAGTAGAGTGACACCGTGATTCACTCATCTGCCTGTCACTCTGCTCTCTCCTCCTATCAGCATGCTGCTTGGCAGCACATGAGCTGATTCATGGCTTCTGCCGCTTCTTCCTCCCACACTCCAGCCTTGCTGAACGAGGACTGCAAGAGGCTGATACCAGGTTTCCTGTAGCATATGACCCCCAGTGTCTGACCGTCTCCTGTACTGTGTCCGCAGTCTCTGGTCATCCCTGTACTGTCCGCAGTCTCCGTCTCCTGTACAATGTCTGCAGTCATCTCCTGTACTGTGTCCGCAGTCTCTCTGTCATCTCCTGTACTATGTCCGCAGTCTCTGGTCATCTCCTGTACTGTGTCCCTGTCACTGTACTGTCTGCAGTCTCTGACCATCTCCTGTACTGTGTCCAGTCTCTGGTCATCTCCTGTACTGTGTCCGCAGTCTCTGGTCATCTCCTGTACTGTGTCCGCAGTCTCTGGCAGTCTCTGTACTATGTCCGCAGTCTCTGATCTCCTGTACTGTGTCTGCAGTCTCTGGTCATCTCCTGTACTGTGTCCGCAGTCTCTGACCATCTCCTGTACAATGTCCGCAGTCTCTGGTCATCTCCTGTCTGCAGTCTCTGACCATCTCCTGTACTGTGTCCGCAGTCTCTGGTCATCTCCTGTACATGTCCGCAGTCTCTGGTCATCTCCTGTACTGCAGTGTCTGCATCTCTGTGTCATCTCCTGTATCTCCTGTACTGTGTCCGCAGTCTCTGGTCATCTCCTGTACTGTGTCCGCAGTCTCTGGTCATCTCCTGTACTATGTCTGCAGTCATCTCCTCTGTGTCATCTCCTGTATCTCCTGTACTGTGTCCGCAGTCTCTGGTCATCTCCTGTACTGTGTCTGCAGTCTCTGGTCATCTCCTGTACTGTGTCTGCAGTCTCTGACCGTCTCCTGTACAATGTCTGCAGTCTCTGGTCATCTCCTGTACTGTGTCCTGCAGTCTCTGGTCATCTCCTGTACTGTGTCCGCAGTCTCTGGTCATCTCCTGTACTTGTCCGCAGTCTCTGGTCATCTCCTGTACTGTGTCCGCAGTCTCTGGTCATCTCCTGTACTGTGTCCGCAGTCTCTGTCCTGTACTATGTCTGCAGTCTCTGGTCATCTCCTGTATGTCCGCAGTCTCTGACCGTCTCCTGTACTATGTCCGCAGTCTCTGGTCATCTCCTGTACTGTGTCTGCAGTCTCTGGTCATCTCCTGTACTGTGTCCGCAGTCTCTGGACCATCTCCTGTACTGTGTCCGCAGTCTCTGGTCATCTCCTGTACTATGTCCGCAGTCTCTGGTCATCTCCTGTAGTATGTCCGCAGTCTCTGGTCATCTCCTGTACTGTGTCGCAGTCTCTGGTCATCTCCTGTACTATGTCCGCAGTCTCTGGTCATCTCCTGTAGTATGTCCGCAGTCTCGGTCATCTCCTGTACTGTGTCCGCAGTCTCTGGTCATCTCCTGTACTATGTCCGCAGTCTCTGGTCATCTCCTGTACTATGTCCGCAGTCTCTGACCCGTCTCCTGTACAATGTCTGCAGTCTCTGGTCATCTCCTGTACTATGTCTGCAGTCTCTGACCCATCTCCTGTACTATGTCTGCAGTCTCTGGTCATCTCCTGTACTATGTCCGCAGTCTCTGACCATCTCCTGTACTATGTGCAGTCTCTGGTCTCTCCTGTACTATGTCTGCAGTCTCTGTCATCTCTGTACTGTGTCCGCAGTCTCTGTCCTCTCCTGTACTGTGTCCGCAGTCTCTGGTCATCTCCTGTACTATGTCCGCAGTCTCTGGTCATCTCCTGTACTGTGTCCGCAGTCTCTGGTCCTCTCCTGTACTGTGTCCGCAGTCTCTGGTCATCTCCTGTACTATGTCCGCAGTCTCTGACCGTCTCCTGTACTATGTCCGCAGTCTCTGGTCATCCCCTGTACCGTGTCCGCGGTCTCTGACCATCTCCTGTAGTATGTCTACAGTCTCTGACCCTCTCCTGGCAGACATTGCTGGTGGGACTATAATTGTGCCGCTGCTTCAGGTGTATTTCTGAGATGATCCGGCACAGAGGAAGCCGGAGCGGGAGGGGGGAGGGGGGGGGGGGGGGGATTATGATGGCGGCTTTGATGGTTATTTGAATTTAATTTGCATATTGCGCTTTTATCCGGGTGTCGGCCGGCGGTTTCTGCGCACGTTTCCTCTCTGTAATTAGAAGAATTAATTCTTAGAATAAATGCAAAGCAATCAAATCCCTTCAGAGGCTCCACAGCAAATCGGTCATCCAGAAAATGAAAAGAAGTCGTCTGTAGAATGGCGCGCCCGCTAATTGCCTAATCACAGAGGGGATCTGCAGTACGAGGGACACGCCCCCGAAAAGGTAAACCGCCATTTGTGGGGACCGACCCGCCTCCCGTGGTGTCATCTAATTACAGCTCAGGTGTCACCGCCACAAAACCGCGCAAATCGGGTCATAGATCCTCAGATATCGATTGATGATCGAGGAACCTCCGAAATTATTAATTGATGGGGCACACAGTGCAAGGGGGCGGCATGGTGGCCATACAGCATATTAGAGTGTAAGCTCCTCTGGTACAGAGACTGATGGGACTGTGGGGGAGGGGACATTAGAGTGTAAGCTCCTCTGGTACAGAGACTGATCTGACTGTGGGGGAGGGGACATTAGAGTGTAAGCTCCTCTTGTACAGAGACTGATGGGACTGCGGGGGAGGGGACATTAGAGTGTAAGCTCCTCTGGTACAGAGACTGATGGGACTGTGGGGGAGGGGACATTAGAGCGTAAGCTCCTCTGGTACAGAGACTGATGTGACTGTGGGGGGAGGGGACATTAGCGTAAGCTCCTCTGGTACAGAGACTGATGGGACTGTGGGGGAGGGGACATTAGAGCGTAAGCTCCTCTGGTACAGAGACTGATGTGACTGTGGGGGAGGGGACATTTAGAGCGTAATCCTCTGGGAGACTGTGGGGGGAGGGGCTCCATTAGAGTGTAAGCTCCTCTGGTACAGAGACTGATGTGACTGTGGGGGAGGGGGACATTAGAGTGTAAGCTCCTCTGGTACAGAGACTGATGTGACTGTGGGGGAGGGGACATTAGAGTGTAAGCTCCTCTGGTGGAGAGACTGATGGACTGGCTCAGTGTTCTCTGTACAGCGCTGCGGTATATGTGGGGTACAATATTAGTGAATTATATAATTCTTGCAGTATTCCTTTAGGGTAATTTTCCTTTTTCCATCAGAAAATCTCTTTAATTGAAATCAAACGTTCAGCTTTTTGTCATTTTCGGGGTGGGGGTGGGGGAGGGGGGGGGGCGGTTGTTGGAGGTAGGGCAGCCCTTTGGGCTGGTTGTACATAGAGCAGAAATTCGTCCAATCATTGTGATCCATTTGCTGGGCTCTGTGCGGTGTGTAGTCGGGGGTCGGTAACCAAATATAATCCTCGGACACAATTTTCGGCAGCCGGGAAAATGTCTCTGAAATGCCAGCCTAGGTTCGGGAAACGTTTCTGTAATATTTTGTATTTTATTTTGGGTGAAAATCCTCAAATCATCATAGTAAGGACATTTCAATGTAGAACCTTCCCTGTGTCCCAGGTACCCCCCCCCCCCCCCCGGGGAAGGGGGTGAGGGGTTCCTTGACCCCCTTTCTGTAACCCACAATCTGCCACCCATGTGCCCGTCAGTGTGCTGGATATCTGGTTTCATCAATGGCAGGAGATCCGTGGCTGTAGACGTTGTAAAAGTCGCTTCTGCTGGAAGGAGATTCTTTGCTGTGTAGCCAGAGAGTGTTGGAGAACACAGTCACAATGCAGGGACTGGTGAGAGGACTCACTGCCCACTATTTGCACCTTTATAGCTGAGACGGAGTTACTGGAAGCAGGATATTTAGCACTTAGTGCCTACACTGAATGTGGGTTCACCAAAAACCGTGAAGTGCAGCAGCGCTGCTGATGGGCCCCAACTATAGCCGGCAGAAGATCACAGTAGAGGACTGCCTTAGACGAGACTGCTTAGAGGTTTAGACTTGTTGCTTCTACATTCAAACATGGAACCAAGACAACCATCCCTGGGTGTTCCCTTACGAGGTAGCGCTACCCCCACTGGAGCTGTTGGCTAGGACGGGTTCTCTGTTCTTTGCCTCAACCCCTGAATGTCTTCACTATAGTGACCGAGCGCATTAATGCTGACCATGCTAGGCTTGGGCTTACTGGACAGATATACCCTTTATATGAGTATTAGATAGGGGCTTGCAGAATGGCTTTAGAGGGGCAGTCCTTTACGGCGTTCTTTTGCCGGCTATAGTTGGGGTCCATCAGCAGTGCCGGTGCACTTAACTGGTTTTGGTGAATCCGCATGCAGTGTAGACACTAAATTTCCTGCTTCCAGTAACTCCGTCTCAGCTATAAAGGTGCAAATAGTGGGCAGAGAGTCCTCTCACCATCCCTGCATTGTGACTGTGGTCTCCCGCTGTAGAAAAAGGGGCTCCTATTCTGTGTGCAGATGACTCTGGTGATCAGGAGTGAAAGGGGAGAGTGTGAGAGAACGTTCCCGTCTCCGCAGGGAAGGGCAAGATTGATGGGATCACCGCTGTCTGTGTCACCCTTAGGCCTCAAGGCTGGTCTGGTGTCCCGCGGAGATGTGTGCACACGGGATGACGTGCTCACATGGACCCCCGCGCTGCCAAGAGGAAAACGTGTCCAGTCTGTCAAAAGCTATTCCACCATTCTTCTTCTTCTTCAGTGTTCCATGGGTACTGTAGTGTATGGGTGCTTGAGCCCCATTCTATGGTTGATGTCCTGGACTTCAGTTCCCATGATCCTTAGCGTTCTTCATAGAAGTGCGTAGGCTTTCCTGGCTATAGTTCTCCCCCTGCTGACTGGAGGGGATAACGCAACTCAACATCCAGCATAACAGTAGAAAGTGAAACTAACTCAAAGGATGTCTCCTTCTCCATGTTCCTGTAGTCCACGGGTGTCAAACTGGTGGCCCTCCAGCTGTTACAGAGACTGATGTGACTGCGGGGGAGGGGACATTAGAGCGTAAGCTCCTTTGGTACAGAGACTGATGTGACTGTGGGGGGAGGGGACATCCAGCATAACAGTAGAAAGTGAAAGTGAAACTAACTCAAAGGATGTCTCCTCCATGTTCCTGTAGTCCATGGGTGTCAAACTGGTGGCCCATAGCTGTTGCCAAACTACAAGTCCCATGAGGCATTGCAAGAGTGACAGTTACAAGCATGACTCCCAAAGGCAGAGGCATGATGGGACTTGTAGTTGGGCAACAGCTGGAGGGCCGCCAGTTTGACACCGCCGCTGTAGTCCATCACTTGGCTACAATAAAGAGAAGTTAAAGTTTACAGTTGGTACATTTCACCTGCACAGGGGAAGGCAGGATTGGGGACAGTAAATTATTCAGGCTGTAAAAAAAAGTGGGTCCTGCGGGGCTCCGGTTCTGCATCGCGTGACGTGTAGCAGGCATTGTAGATCATGTGACCCAAGACGTGCTTCACGGGCTCATAGGGAAGTGATTGCTTCACTGCAACCAACGTGTCCCAATTGTCTGCAAAATCTGACAGCTGAACGTCTCTTGAGGAAGGACAGCCCCAGAAATGGGACTTTCTTAGTCAGTTACACACAGGCGGCCTGTAAGCAGACATTTGAAATCAGAACTTCTATTGGACAGAGCAGCATTTTGTGCAGAGTGTCATGGGAGCACCAAGTTATGTATAATATCTCCATGTATAATATAATAAGATATAATACATGGATCTCCATATATAATACATAAGGGGGGATATGATCTCCATGTATTCATATAGTGAACATAAGGGGGGGGATATGTCCATGTATAATACATAAGGGGGGGATTGATCTTCCCCTGAGGTCATACAGAGGACATAAGGGGGGATATGATCTCCATGTATAATACATAAGGGGGGATATGTCATCTCCAATACATAAGGGGGGGATATGATACGGAAAGGGGGGATTGATCTCCATGTATAATACATAAGGGGGGATAGCTACAGAATGGGGATATAGATCTCCATGTAGAATACATAAGGGGGGGTTGTGTATAATACCAGCTCAGTGGATCTCCATGTATAATACAAAGTCCTAAGGGGGATTGATCTCCATGTATACACATAAGGGGGGGATATGATCTCCATGTATAACATAAGGGGGGATATGATCTCCATGTATTACATAGGGGGGATATGATCTCCATGGTACATAAGGGGGGGAATATCCGATTGCCTCATAAGGGGGATATGATCTCCATGTATAATACATAAGGGGAATTGTTGATCTCCTGTATATTACAGGGGGGATGATCTCCATGTATAATACATAAGGGGGGGATCGTGATTCCATGTATAATACATAAGGGGGGTTTCTTTTTCGATATGATCTGCTTACCTCCATGTATAATATATAAGGGGGGATATGATCAATAAATACATGTGGGGATATGGATACATAAGGGGGGATATGACTCCATGTATAATACATAAGGGGGGGGGTATTTTCCATGTATTTACATGGATCTCCGTAATACATCAGTGGAGTGAACTCGGTGTAGTTTTTTTGTCTCACAGAGGACAAGGGGCGCTCACGTCTGGAGGAAAAGAATGTATCTCCAAACACGGAAAGGTTTCTTCACAGTAAGAGCTGTGAGAATGTGGAATAGACTCCCTCCAGAGTTGGTTGTAAGCTCTGTGGATTGCTGTAGGAAAGTTTGATACACAGAATATAACTGGATATAACATTTATAGGTGACGTTGATCCAGGGAAATCTGATTGCCTCTCGGGGGGTATTGTCAGAAGCATTTTTTTTCGCCTTCTTCTGGATTAACTTTTTTTTTTTTTTAATGGTTGAACTGGAACTTTTTTGTCTTTTTTTCAGCCAGACTATAAAAGGTGTAGCAATTAAAATTTTCATAAAAGGTCCATTTTTTGGTGCAAAAATTCTAAAACTGACCAAAAAAACCTAAAGTCTACTGTAAGTGGAAAGCGGGTTTGATCCCATAACAGTCCATGATGGTTCTATATTACGACCCGACCCCATGGCCCAATTCCTTTCCATGCTCCTCCCACTACGGGACACGGGGTCACTGAGGGTCATGGTACCGATCCGAATGGTTCTCCATCAGAGTATTGAACCCTAAATAACAGATCCTATCGGTTCTCTTTCAGATGTTTGACTGGATCACTCACAACAAGGAGGTATTCCTGCAGGGTCACACCGAGATCGGGATGAGTTACCAGCACGCCCTCGACCTGCAGACACAGCACAACCACTTCGCCATGAACTCCATGGTAAGACGCCCAGCTTTCAGCCCCTGCAATCCTTATAACCACCTTTTTGGTTGAACTTTTTTTTTTTTTGTTTGTTTTACTTTTTTTATTTATTGGTAAATAGCTTGAAGCCAATGACGATTTTCTTGCTGTCTGCTTTGTATTTTCGAATGTCATGAAGAAAAACTGTTCCCTGATGGGAATTGGTCATCACCGCTCCCCCAGGCAAAGTGTTGTTCTGTCCGTCCTGAGCCGTTAGTGACTTGTTGAATATACCAGAGGAATGAACACCAGACATAAATCGTAAATGATAACCAATATGTGAAAATGAAATATAATACTTATTATAATATAGCCACAAATAATAGCGCTCACAAAAATATATAATTAATATTATATTATATTAAGACCAAAATATGTGTGCTCTTCATATAATATTAGTACATTATTATTATATATTTTTTGTGAGCGCTATTATTTGTGGCTATATTAACCACCTCCTGCCCGCCATATTGTAATATGATGGGCGCAAGGCGGTTCTCTCGTTCTGGGAGGGCGTCATATGACGTCCCCCCATTCCACCCACGCATGCGTGGCTCAGGGAGCGCGCAGCAATCGGCGGTCACTGTGTCCCTCGGACACAGCGGATCATTGATCACGGAAAGAGCCGAAGATGTCAGCTCGGTCATGTGATCAGCTGTGTCCAATCAATGTAAAGACGGAAATGACGGTTATCGGCATTTCTCTCCTCTCGAGTTGTCCCCTGACAGAGGAGAGGAGAGCTGGTAAGCGGCTTTTTGCGGAGGGGGGGACATGTACACTGATCATCAGGGCACTGATGATCAGTGTAGCCCCAGCAGTGCCACCTGTCAGTGTCCATCAGTGCCTTCATGTCAGTGCTCATCAGTGCCACATATCAGTGTCTACCAGTGCACACCAATGCCACATATCAGTGCCCATCTGAGCTGCCTTTCAGTGTCACCAATCAGTGCCCAGTCCTATTAGTGCCAGTCAGTGCTGCCTATTAGTGCCAGTCAGTGCCGCCTATCAGTGCTGCCTATCAGTGCCATGTATCAGTGCTGCCTTTCAGTGCCCATCAGTGATGCCTGTCAATGCCCATCAGTACCACCTACCAGTTCCTCCTGATCAGTCCATCAGTGCCATCTATCAGTGCCCATCAGTGCAGCCTCATTAGCGCACATCAGTGAAGGAGAAAAATCACTTAGTTACAAAATTTTATAACAAAAACTAAGAAAAAACATTTTTTTAAAAAAATTTTCAGTAGTTTTTGGTTTGTTTAAGAAAAAATAAAAATCCCCGAGGTGATTAAATACCACCAAAATAAAGCTCTACCTGTCACAAAAAAATGATAAAAAATTTCATATGGTACAGTGTTGCATGACCGCGCAATTGTCATTCAAAGTGTGAGAGCGCTGAAAGCTGGAAATTGGCCTGGACTGGAAGAGGGTAGAAGTGCCCGGTGGGCAGGAAGGGGTAGAAGTGCCCGGTGGGCAGGAAGGGGGTAGAAGTGCCCGGTGGGGAAGGGGTAGAAGTGCCTGGGGTAGAAGTGCCTGTAGGCAGGAAGGGGGGTAGAAGTGCCCTGTAGGCAGGAAGGGGGTAGAAGTGCCCTGTAGGCAGGCAGGAAGGGGGTAGAAGTGCCCTGTAGGCAGGAAGGGGGGTAGAAGTGCCCTGTAGGCAGGAAGGGGGTAGAAGTGCCCTGTAGGCAGGAATGGGGGTAGAAGTGCCCGGTAGGCCTGTAGGCAGGAAGGGGGTAGAAGTGTCCTGTGGGCAGGAAGGGGGTAGAAGTGCCCTGTGGCAGGGAAGGGGGTAGAAGTGCCCTGTAGGGCAGGAAGGGGGTAGAAGTGCCCTGTAGGCAGGAAGGGGGTAGAAGTGCCGGGTAGGCAGGAAGGGGGTAGAGAAGTGCCCTGTAGGCAGGAAGGGGGTAGAAGTGCGGTGGGCCGAAGGGGTAGAAGTGTGGGCAGGAGGGGGTAGAAGTGCCCGGTGGGCAGGAAGGGGGGTAGAAGTGCCCGGTGGGCAGGAAGGGGGTAGAAGAAGTGCCCTGTAGGCAGGAAGGGGGAAGTGTCCTGTAGGCAGGAAGGGGGTAGAAGTGCCCTGTAGGCAGGAAGGGGGTAGAAGTGTCCTGTAGGCAGGAAGGGGGTAGAAGTGCCCGGTAGGCAGGAAGGGGGTAGAAGTGTCCTGTAGGCAGGAAGGGGGTAGAAGTGCTCTGTAGGCAGGAAGGGGGTAGAAGTGCCCTGTAGGCAGGAAGGGGGTAGAAGTGCCGGTAGGCAGGAAGGGGGTAGAAGTGACCGGGGGGCAGGAAGGGGGTAGAAGTGCCCTGTAGGCAGGAAGGGGGTAGAAGTGACCGGGGGGCAGGAAGGGGGTAGAAGTGCCCGGTAGGCAGGAAGGGGGTAGAAGTGCCCTGTAGGCAGGAAGGGGGTAGAAGTGCCCTGTAGGCAGGAAGGGGGTAGAAGTGTCCGGTGGGCAGGAAGGGTTAGAAGTGCCCTGTAGGCAGGAAGGGGGTAGAAGTGTCCGGTAGGCAGGAAGGGGGTAGAAGTGTCCGGTGGGCAGGGGGGGGGAAGGGGATAGAAGTGCCCTGTAGGCAGGAAGGGGGTAGAAGTGCCCGGTAGGCAGAAAGGGGGTAGAAGTGCCCTGTAGGCAGGAAGGGGGTAGAAGTGTCCGGTAGGCAGGAAGGGGGTAGAAGTGTCCGGTGGGCAGGAAGGGGGTAGAAGTGCCCGGTAGGCAGGAAGGGGGTAGAAGTTCCCTGTAGGCAGGAAGGGGGTAGAAGTGCCGGTAGGCAGGAAGGGGGTAGAAGTGCCTGTAGGCAGGAAGGGGGTAGAAGTGCCCGGTGGGCAGGAAGGGGGTAGAATTCCCCTGTAGGCAGGAAGGGGGTAGAAGTGCCCGGTAGGCAGGAAGGGGGTAGAAGTGCCCTGTAGGCAGGAAGGGGGTAGAAGTGCCCGGTAGGCAGGAAGGGGGTAGAAGTGCCCGGTAGGCAGGAAGGGGGTAGAAGTGCCCGGTAGGCAGGAAGGGGGTAGAAGTGCCCTGTAGGCAGGAAGGGGGTAGAAGTGCCCGGTAGGCAGGAAGGGGGTAGAAGTGCCCTGTAGGCAAGGGGTTATGTATTATATTTTCACATATTGGTTATTATTTGAATTATGGTTACATAATAGCAGCTCATTTATATTTATATATATACTGTATTTCATGGTACTACATTCCAGGGGCGCGATGATGTAGACTTTGGATTATATTGATATATTATTGATATTATTCACCCGGGTTTATTTTTATATATAAATCGTAAATGGTTTAGGAGTTCAGAATGAGGCAAGCTACGCGTTTCGGGGGCCAGACGCCTCTCGTCATCAGGGTAAAAGGAAGGTGAATAGAATAGAAGATGCGTAATACAACGATCTATCAATCAGGATTGTTTACATGGGGATTTGTTGTGTGATCCATTTTATTCAATGGGCTGCCCCAAGCATGAGAAGCGTAGAGTCCCTGACCCGCTGCCAAAATCGCTCCTCGCTGCACTGCATGGTGCTGTGGCACAGTGTGGTTTGGCGCATCTATTAGCGGTTCCTTGCCGGTGCTCATGACAGTTAATGGCACTGCCACACTGTAACGGAACCGACCCAGGTCTGCACTTGGGTACTTCCATTAGAATACCGCTTTCCCCGTCCGCACACCGACCACTGACACCACCGCTGACCATACAAGACTAGACGACACCAATCTGTCCGAACACCGACCACTGACACCACCGCTGACCATACAAGACTAGACGACACCAGTCTGTCCGAACACCGACCACTGACACCACCGCTGACCATACAAGACTAGACGACACCAGTCTGTCCGAACACCGACCACTGACACCACCGCTGACCATACAAGACTAGACGACACCAATCTGTCCGAACACCGACCCCAGACACCACCGCTGACCATACAAGACTAGACGACACCAGTCTGTCCGAACACCGACCACTGACACCCACCGCTGACCATACAAGACTAGACGACACCAATCTGTCCGAACACCGACCACTGACACCACCGCTGACCATACAAGATTAGACGACACCAGTCTTGAAGTAAACCAGGAGGTAGACTAGTTTACTTGAAGATATATACACTCAGGGGACAATCCCCCCTCCCTGCATAATGACACAGGGCGGGGCAATCAACATTTAGTAACGAGACACACCGACAGACAGTCCCATCAGGAGGGAGGGCTGCTGGAGACACCCCCCCCCCCACCAAGCCAATACACATAAACACATACATCCCATAATAGTTTGCTCCCAAGCAAGACACACAATAGAACAATGGGATGCAACCACATAACATCAAACAATCAACAACCCCCCCACCCCAATATTAGGACAGGACCCCTAACAGGCACAGGGTGACTTACACATAATAGGGATATGGGGAGCTGAGACAGGGGTCTCCCCACCTCTCTATAGTGATCTGTGTTCCGTGGGCCCCCCACCCAAAGTGACTCCCGTCACACACACCTCTGCTAAAGCACAGTGCATTTCTGTGAGTGTCAGGAAAGCATGCGATTTTGCGTGTGTACCCAACATGCGCAAGTTGGGAACCTACCCTCAGCCCCGATGAACGTTTGTGGTCCCCGAAGTGCATTGGATGTCATATTGTGAGCAGGTAAAGCTGTTTGGAGCCTCTTATGATTTTGGTCTGGCGCTCCTCCTGCTGGTTTGTGTGTTGAGTGACTATCTGGGTACCCAATGAACGATCGCCCTGTGTGCGTCTGCGCTGCCTAACTGGAGCCAGTGAGCTCCTCCAATAAGCGTCTTCCCTATAAATAAGAATTGAAGTGGGCAGCACAGTGACCAAACGGTTAGCACTTCCACCTGGCAGTACTATGGCTGTTGGTTCGAATCCCACCCATGACACCACCTGCCTGGAGTTTGCATGTTCTCCCTGTGCCTGTGTGGGTTTCCTCTTGGTACTCCGGTTTCCTCCCACACTCGAAAAAACATTCTGGGAGGTGAATTGGCTCCTATCTAAATTGGCCCTAGTTATGCATATCTATGGATGTGAGTTAGGGACCTTAGATTGTGCGCTCCTCGGGGGCGGGGACTGATGTGAATGTACAATATATATGTAAAGCGCGGCGCACATTGATGGCGCTATACAAGTACCTGAAATAAATAAGTTCCGGCGCCTCCTGGATGTATCCCATTGGATGTGATTGCAGTGGCCTCATTACACACAATCCCCCCCCCTCCCCCCCAGCCTTGTGTTACAGGAACTGGTTCTTCTATACGGGGAAGGGATTTGCAGGCTCCGAGGAAGGAACGTGGATTGCGCACGGACTGTTTCTGTGGATGGAGTGTTCCTTTAAGAACCCGAGGAACATTGGGGAATAATTGAAATGCTGAGCAGCGTAGGCGTCGGCGGCTGTCATTTTTGTTCACGGAGAATTGTCTCTCCTGCCGTCACTGCAGCGCCGCTGTACACCGCTCAGCCGATACAATGTAACCGCGTGAAATGTTTTCTGGAGGATTTTTTGTTTCTTTTTATTCCTTTTGGCTCTTTAGAACAGAAGTTACATTTTTGGGTTGCTGTGAAAACTCACGAAATTGTGTCGGGTTTGTGCATTTGTGCGAGTTTTACACCCAACGCCTAGGGCAGCGCAGTGATCCCGACAAATGTGGCAAAGTTGCTCGTCGTGTGCCGGCATCTCGCTCTTACATGGTCCAGCACCCCGCCTCTTACATGGTCCAGCACCCCCGCTCTTACATGGTCCAGCACCCCGCTCTTACATGGTCCAGCACCCCGCTCTTACATGGTCCAGCACCCCGCTCTTACATGGTCCAGCACCCCACTCTTACATGGTCCAGCACCCCCTCCTTACATGGTCCAGCACCCCACTCTTACATGGTCCAGCACCCCCTCCTTACATGTTCCAGCACCCGCTCTTACATGGTCCAGCACCCCGCTCTTACATGGTCCAGCACCCGCTCTTACATGGTCCAGCACCCCACTCTTACATGGTCCAGCACCCCACTCTTACATGGTCCAGCACCCCACTCTTACATGGTCCAGCACCCCGCTCTTACATGGTC